AATTTATTTAACTTGCAGCAACAGCCTAATAGGGAGTATGTTATCTAGACTAACAAGCCCATAAGCATTTCGCCTGCTCAACAAAGCCACGGAGGTCAGACACTGCTGCAGTTTGTGTTTATCAGGGTCTGGCTGTGCTGGGTGCTGTTTCCCGGAGACGCGTTAACAACAATGAAGAACATGCAGCACCTTGTAAGATCGAGCTCCTTCACAGCAGCTTCTGGGAAGAAAATATTCCATGGTCTCTCCAAAAATGACCTCTTTCTGAACACAAATGAAATTACACATTTGATTTATAAACCCTACAGGTGTTCACAATTGATTTGGGGATTAAAACTAGCAATCAGCATGTTTACTTATTGTCGCTTTTAGAGCTCACTAAAAAGTAAATAAAGACACACCAGTCCTTAACCAGCACAGTGCTTTGGTACATGTTTAATTATAAGCACATGAATAGCCCTGCCACCAATTCAGAGTCATACTTTGTAACTTGGTAACATCCTTCACATGCAAATTACCTCCCTGAGTTATTACATTTAGAAACAAAACAAACCCATTTGGTTTGTAGATACATTTTTGATAACGGTAATACTTCTGGACTATTACTGCTCATATACTCATCTTCAGAAAATCACCTTGAGTGATTTTTTGCAGACCTTAAAAAATTGTGCTTTATATGAGTTCTGAAACAGATAACTTTGGGAGTCACGGCACTGTAGTCAAGGAGACCCTACATGCTGAAAGTCACAGTTGTGCAGTCAGAACTCTGCTGCACTTTACTCACATAGTTTGAGCCTGGGGTAAGAAATAATGGCTGTCATGCAGTAAATTTTTTTCTGGACAACAATGAGAACAGTGGGGAAATAAATACTGAGGTTAACTGTGCTTGAAGAATAATCTCCAGCAAGCAAAGCACAGTCCACACATTTGCAGTCTCAAAGAGCTGTCAAAGTCTCACACTCAGTTCCTACTGACACTAATGAAAATTGCCACCATGGACAGAGATGGGATGACTCCTGACACTGGGCACACTGGAGAAGTCAGCAGTCTAAAAGCAAAAAAGAGTCTAAAAGAGGAAAAAATTCCTACAATAAAACTATCTGACACAGTGCCTTCAGTGGGTTGATTTTTGTTCCCTTAAGTAACAGAACAATAACAAAGAGCTGTTGCCTTGATCCTCAGAAGCAACAATGCTCGGATACAGCCCATTTCAAGGCACAGTAGGGATAGTGCAATATGCCATGGTTTGTCTCCTGGACTAAATCACAGGGATCCAACCCAAAATTGTGGCAGTTCACCTTCACAGTATTTAGTCTGTAAAAGGTAAATCCATCACTTAAAACTGACTTTGTGATTTCAGTGTGATTTGGTACTTACACAGCTGCTACACAATGAACACTGATGGATTTTACCCCTAGAGAACTATTCTGAATTGTCTCCACCACTCTCTGCAGGTAATTAAATTGCCCTTTTTCAGCTTTATACCAGAAATTATCTCATGGGGATGATCTGCAGCAAGGTAAATCCAGTTGAAGACTTCACACTGGACGACACCTAAACTCTGAATCTCGGCACTACCCCAGCAGTAAAACACCTTCACATTACAGTGACTGACTCTCACTCCTCAGCACGTCTGCCCCTGCTGCTGCAGCTCTTGTCACGAAGGCAGTGAGCAACACTTAGGAGACCTGACAAAGCTGGAGTCCAGTGCCTGGCTTTCCAATGAAAGACACTCAGTAAAACTGCCCATGGCACCCAGGAAAAAATGAACTAAGAAATGCTAATCTAATAATATAGGCATGTAGATAAATGAAAGGTGAAAAGGCTTGTAAATGCATTCTGAAACAAATATTTTATGAAATGGATCAATATATTTCTCTAGGCTGGAAACAAATGAGTTATTAAAGAAAGTTAAATTTAGAGAAGAAATTGTTTGGTTTTCTTACTATGGAAAACAGTGACGATAATTCCTTGGAGGGCATTTACACCAACAGCACTCCAAAGCTAGGGCTTCACCATGTTTTCCCTAAAAACAGTACAGTAAAAACAGGGTAAGGTTACTGCTGTCAGGCTACTTAATGTGAACAAAACTAGCTTTGCAACCATACAGCATTGTCCTTAATTTTCAGTTGTTCACCAGCATATGGAAGTGATGCAACCACAAAGTAAAACAATTACAACTTTGGTCTTGCATCTTTTAGGTAATTCAGCTCTCTGATGTCTTTACAAGGAATCACCTGAGTATGGGCTACCGGGTAACACCCTAAATTCCCAGATCCCAGTTGACAGAGCATGCACCAGCCCGCGCTCGAGACAGGGAGGCGGCAGCGGCAGATCGCTCCCTGGCGCTGTTGGATACTGCCCCCTTTTGCCGAACAGCAAGGCAACAGCCCCGGCTGCACAATGAAACTTTGCCCAGCATCTATTTGTTTTCGGGAAGATATATTCATGCAGATGGTCTTATTTAACCCTAGTATGTCTGTTTGCATGAGAATTCGTCCTGACTAAAATAGAAATCTATTGTTTGAGCCATGTTTAATATCACAGAGTGCCTGCTCCCCAGGAACTTTCCCTCTAACGGGGCCCTATCATGTGTCAGCCCAAGTCAAGCAGCACTTTTACAAGTGACTACAAGGTGAGAGGAAGAGTTTATAGTCTGGGGGTATGTTCCTTCAGGTCAGCTGTCAGCCTAGGGAATAAAGGGCAATCACAGTAGACGACCAAAGCCATTCTTTCTGGGAACTTTTTTAGTCTTACTGCAAAGCAACTAAAATTCCATTACACCATTGGTATCGAGCTTCTCTTGGGCTACCCACATTCCTGCTGAACCCATCCCCATACCATCGTTGCCAGTCAATATAAACTGATCAAGGCCAGTTTGCTAAAAGTCATTTTCTGTGCAAAACCTCATCCCCCGCATCTCTCTGTTCAAGCCTTTTGTCCTCTGAGGTTGTGCTTTTTCACTTGCTGGAGTTTGCACATTTTCTCTTCCCTGGCTGCACCAGCTTTTTGCAGGAAGGGAGGGAGGTCATGGAGGGCAGCCACTGCCAATTCCATCAGCCTAACAGGCTGGGGGGTATGAACAAAGCAAATATCTATATTCTGAAGGGTGGGATCTCTCTCCCCCCCATGACTTCAGGATTAGCATGTCCCTGGCAGAGGAGGACAAAAACTTGGCCTCTTTAATGAAAGAAAACAAGATAGAGAGAAAACCAGAACAACTTGCCTAGACTTCACTGAAAATGCAAAAAGTATTGCATAAAACATAGAGATTCCCCACTATTGCCTAGTGATGAGTCTACTTATCACCCAATCCAAACAGAAAAGTTTTAGTGCAAAAGGAGAAAAGATTAAAGATATGCACGATTCAAGTGTCTGTTTAAAAATTGAATCTCTGTTTAAAATCCTGTTAAATATCAGCAGAATTTTTCTTATCCACTGCCACTTTGTCTGCAGTTATGACCAGTTTTCTACATTGGGTGCTTACAAATCAGATGTATAATCACAAGAGTACTTTTCTGTATGAGTAGTTTGTTCCAGCTACCCTCACTCCTCCTCCTTGCATTCACTCACCTGAGATCTCCACTGATCTCAGGCAGAGTAAGAGTCAAAGCCCATTAGAACTTCTAGTTTAGTTGGTTTCTATTTTGTCCACAGTCATCATAGGGTCTTAGCCTACCACTGAACCCATCCAGAGGCAAAGACACCAAATCTCTTGCAGCTCAGACTATAATTTAAGAAAATAAGTATTTTTTGTAATGAGAGGGAACACTTGCACAACAAAATAAGGAACTTTATTATGGTTCCTAACCGATATATCCATACATAAATAGTTGGAAGAAAAAAGAAATGGGGGGAAAAAATGTAAACCCCAACCAAAACCAGATAAATAAATCGGGGGGAAAATATAGAAAAACAAAAACAAAAAACCAAAACAAGACCTAGCATCTATCATGTTTTGGAGACCTTTTTTAAGGACAGGAATTATCAAAGAGTCTAAACTGAGCCAACAGAGGACAGTGAACCTTCAGGACATAGATACTCCTCGATACTTAATGCTCCACCTAAAAGCCCGTGAAGAGACAGGTTCAGTACCGATTTGGCAAGCACACCTTTTGTTTGTTTCCTCTGAGGCTTAACAGTAAGCGTGCTCCTGGGCAGCACCAGGAGCAGATGGTAGTGCTGGAAAATACAGCTCTCCAACTTTGGAGTGGATATTGGAGCTGGATCGACAAAGGTTGTTTCTGGAAATCCTACCCCCCCCCCCACCCCCATACACTCCCTGTAAGTTTCTAACAATGCGCGGATCTAAGGAGCAACACAAGGCTCCCTGCTTCCCTCTCCCTCTCCCCTTCGCTTTTGATCTCCATCAGGACGTGAGCTGAAATTTAATGGGCCACCCCTACCACAAAGACAAATTACCATCTGAAAAACAAAAATCATTAATATCCCTTCGTCTAGGCTATCCTGCTTCCCACCACTGCACCCCTTCACTCCCGCCACAGCCTCCCTCAGCGGGTTTAGGAAGAGCTGGGAAGGTGGCGGGGAGAGGAGGGAAAAAAAAAACACCTCCACTGCCACCTCTGAGCTAGCGTGCTCTCCAGCGCTGCCGGACTGCGAACACAGCGACAAAAAACAAGCCCCTTTGGCTCTCCGGCGGGCAGGGGGACGGCGCGCCGAGCGCCGGGCACAAACACCCCCCACACCCCGCAGGTTGCCCCCGGCCCCCATCACCGGGCGCTGCACCGGGGGCGGCGGAGACGCGCAGCAGCCCGGGGTTTCCCACCTCCCCGGATCCCCTTCCCAGCGCCGCCCGCTCCCCCCGACCCCGCCAAGTTGGGAAGTTTGCGCGCCCCCGGCCCGTCCCGCCGCCCGCCCCCCGGGCCGCCGCGGCGCTGCGCTTACGGGGTGGCCGCCGGGCTCCCGGCGCGGGGCTCACCGGCACATCGCGCTCCGGCTGCCGCAGCAGCGGGGGCAGCCGCGGCGCGGCTGGGCTCGGCTCGGCGCGGCTGGGCTCGGCTCGGGGCGAGCAGGGGAGCGGAGCGGCGGCTCTGCCCAGCCCGGCGCTCAGGGAGTGCCGCCTCGGGCCATGCGAGCGGCGGCGGGCAGCGTTCCCGCGGTGCGGCCGGAGTTGGGACCGAAGTCCTCTCGGGCGCTCCTCTGTCTCTTCCAAACGGCTCCTATCAGCACGGCTTCAACTCTTTCCATCGGAGACCGAGGGGAGGAGGAGAAGGAGGCGGAGGAGGAGGAGGTAGGGAAGGAGGAGGGAGCTAGGGGCTGGCAGCCCCAACTCGCACTGATGTCAACTAATATATTCAAAGTTCAACAGGGCATTTCTCTAGCAAGCGAATCGCCCTCGTCGCACTCCCCGCTGGGCGCAGCCGGCCTCCCCTGGTTGTTGGGGGGTCCCGTGGAGCACAGCGGTACTCCCGGCCGGACCCTGCCGGAGGGGGGCCGGTGGGGCTGGCCCGGAGGGGAGGTGGTCGGGGCTGGGGGATGGCACACTTTTCAGCCGGGCAGGTTCAAGTGCCGCGGGTGTGGGGAGGGCTGAGGGTGGAGGTGAGGCACCAGACAAGAGCGAAAATAATCCACCGAGAGGCAGAGCGATGTTTGTGTTTAAATCCAGCCTCTTCCCTCCCCGCTGGAAGGGGCAGGGCCGGCTGTGTTGCTGTGGCTGTGATGGGAGATGGGCGCGGGGAAGCGGCTGCGCTGGGGGTCGGAGTGGCGCCGCGGGGCTCCGGGCTCCCTTGCAGCCCCCGCGGCAGCGGCCGCCCGGACACGCCGCCCGGCCGGGACTGCCCGTCGGGCCCGGGGCTGTGGCCGCGTCTCCCCGTCGCGATGTCCCCTTGTTTGCCGGAGGCTAATGGGGTCGAGATGAACCCGGGGAGGGAAGCGGCAGTTTTCTCACGCCGAAGCGCAGACAGCGGCGGAAAATCCGCGATGAAGAAAGTACGCAGAGCGGAGCGCACGGGAGAAGCAGCGCTGTCCCTCCGAGGCTCCACCGCTGCCCGGGGTCCGCCCGCGGAGAATCGCTGCGAGGCTGGGGAGCTGCATCAAACGTGATTTTGGGAAGGCTGATATGCCGCGCTGTCCCCGAGGTGATGCACAGCGCCCGAACGCCATTAGCGGCAACCGCATAAAGCCATAGGATGGACCCTGCTGATAGACAAGCAGCGCGACAGTCAAAGGATAAAACCACATCTGGGCTGGTCTAGTGACATTTAAAAACTGCCAGATAAGAGCCTCAGTTATTTATCAGCTGAATCCCCAGATAGAACGGCCCGCACTGATACCGTTGCATATGTATGTGTGCATACAGAATGAGGCTGGGTTTTTTTCCTTCTGTAAACTGATCCTGTCATTCATGTTGACAGTATGTTATAGCTATATAAAAACAGTGTAATTGTATGATGGCTCATCAGTGCTATGACAGCCAATTGTGGAGGCAGTGGGTGTGCTCCAAATTCGCATCTCCGAGAAGTAACTGCATAGCTATGTTGAGATTATGATTATACAACATGTAATTGTTTGCCTGTTCATAATTTCTCAGTTCTTCCTTAATCAAGGAACTATATCACTACATCTGCTCATGCAGTAATGCATTTTTGATACCTTGAGTGAAACAGCCAATATATTATTTATATGCATAACATTTTTTATCTGCTTTCCATTTTAAAACTCACACTGGAAAGAAAAGAACGGGTAAGGATACAAAACAATTGCATTTTATCTATGTATTCTGATCAAAACTCAAACTCTGGAAGAAGACTTGAGTCAGGCATAGTCTGGAAAGTGCTGAGCAAACTTCCCCATTCACAGTGACATCACATTTGTGCGTCTTTTTTTCCCCATTCTTTCCTTAAACTGAAAAAAAACTCTAGCTGATTTTTTTTTGTAGTAGTATCTTCTTAGAATATTGTCTTAATTTACATGTGAATAGTAAGCAAATGTCCCTCCATTTCCTTAACGTACAGGATGATATCTTTCAATTTAGTGAATTTAATTTTAAATAATGATGTACAACAGCCTGTGTGGACAGAGCAGAACACAGTGAAGGTTGTGCTCTGTGCTGGAACACTCTTTATCTTCTTTTTCAGTTTTACAGTAGAGTGAGTCACCTGGTTATCTAAGCCTCGGGGACAGATCACCTCACCAAATGCCACAACTACACATGCAGTTTCCAGAAGATAGCTCAACCTGTCCTCATCCTAAGACTTTGAGATGCAGCACTGAGCATTGAACAATACATAGCTTAAGACCACACAAATGTTTGTCAACATTTAAAGATATAATGGATAGCAGTTTTCTATTAAAGAAAATATTTTTTGTCCTAAAATCTTCTAGGATTTTCCTGCTACTATTTTGCTGTTTCCCCCACTAGGCTGGGATCAGTTCTGTTGGTCATGCGTGTGTATGCATTGCTCAAAGACTTACTAATAAAATGTGCACATAAATAAAAGTTTTGTAATGTTTCCATGGACAGTCAGGTCCTGACACCTTAATGCCTTTTCACAGCATGGTATCTGGGAAATCACAAGCCAGGCAGCAAAACTACTCAAATCCTTTTAGTAAAGGGCTTGTGACGCAAAGCAGTACAATTACAATTCTATGAAAAAGAGAAATGTCATGGGAAAAGTCGGGGTATTGCATGTGAAGTGATCTGTATCGAACAATTTGTTTCCAAAGGAGAGGATGTACCGAGTTCCTCCTATTCCGGGCTTGAGGTCAGGGCAAGACTCCTCACAGTTGCTCGCAGAGGTGGTGAACTGTAACCCGTGTCTAGAGCCACGGCCTCTGGAGAAACGCCCTTTCCGCCGGGAAGAGACGCGGCCGGCTGTGGCTGTGGCTGTGGCTGT